ATCTTCTGCAGCTTCTCTTGCTCTCAGTGTGCTTTTCTTTCCTTCTAGTTGTAGAATTTACAGTCAGCCAGGCTTCCTGTGGTTCTGGATGATGTCCGTATTGTTTTTCTGAGGTATTAATCAATTGTTGTGAGCGGCATCAACTTCCCAGTGTTTATCTCTGCCGCCATCTTAGTTTCTCTCCTCCTCTATTGGAATTTGATGTTTTTCTTATGAATAGGCTGGGGTTATGGGTTTTAGGAGTAAAATCACAGAGGTACAGTGCCATTCTCATCATATCAAGAGTGGATACTATCAACATGACATGTCACTCTTAATGTTAACCTGACCACCTGGCAGAGGCAGAGTTTGTCAGGTTTCTCTACTGGAAGTTACCCTTCCCCCTTCCGTACTGTGTTTTTCTGAAATGGGAGAAATAAAGCAGTAAGTCATGTTGTAATTTTCATGAAGGAACATTTTATGAACCATTGATTCTTCTGCATGTGTGTTTGGAGTGTGTAGGATGGAGGTAGGTAGATAGGTAGGAGAGATCAAGCAAAATGATAGTGAAAAGTATTGAATTCTTTTAAGACAGTGGTCGGCAAACTCATTAGTCAACAGAGCCAAATATCAACAGTGCAACGATTGAAATTTCTTTTGAGAGCCAAATTTTTTAAACTTAAACTATATAGGTAGTACATTGTTATTAACTTAATTAGGGTACTCCTAAGCTGGCCTTTGCTAAAAACGTCCTCAATCTGATTGAGGTACGTTCGCTGAGGTCGACCCCTTCCAACTCGCCCATCCACACTCATCTTGTATACTTGTTTCGTTTATCTCCTTTCATTCATCCTCTCTATCTGTCCACCCGCCACTTCTTCTAACGCCACTTCTTCAAAATAGACTTGCCCAGGCCGAAAACCGACTTCTGTGCATGGGCCACGAAATTTCAATCGCACTCTGCGTGCGCGCCCGTACGTGGTATGGGGCCAAAGAGCCGCATGTGCTCGCGAGCCACGGTTTGCCAACCATTGTTTTAAGAGAATTGAAGGAAAAACTAGAGCTCTAGAAGTGTGAATGTTAAACTCCTTCAGGGAGTCATGACTATGTAAGATGTAGAATCACCAGTCTGGTATATTGTTACTTGCATATTCCCTGAAATATGTGGGATTAATTTTGCTTTTTATTTTTTATTTTTATAAATCACACAAGCATGTTCAAAGCATAAGTTTTTATCTTTTTAAAGAGTGATGGTTTTATCTCATCTTATTCCCCAGATTCAATTACAAATGAGATTTGATGAGAATCAGAAATCAAACTACCTTCAAATTTTAAAAATTTGCCAACTTTGAGGATTTTAAAAGACTATTAGTGGCAGAATTCTAAGGCAATTACCAATGTTTTTAAGCCATGGCAGCATTTTTGTTGTTTTCTGTTTAAAGTTATTAAATAATAATATACTCATAGAAAAGGGCACAAATCTTACTCAATTTGAAGAACGTTTACCAAGTGAACATGCTTGTGTAACCACCACCCAGATCAAGAATTAGAATATTATCCTCATCCCAGATGCTGGGAAATTATTGTGTCCCCTCAGCCCCTAATTCCTATAAAAGGTAACTATTAATCTGACTTTCTCAACCATAAATAAATATTTAGAACATTTATAAATCAGTATTTTCTTCTGTGTCTGGCTTCTTTCTTTTTTTCAAACATTTTTATTGATTTTTTTTTTTTGAGAGAGAGAAGAAGGGAAAGGGAGAGAGAGAGAAACATTGATGAGAAAGAACATTGATTGGTTGCTTCCTACAGGTTTCTTCAATAAATAATGATGTTGAGTATTTTTTCAGATATAATTAGCCATTTGAACATCCTCGTTTGAAGTCACTTTTCAATTCTTTGGCCCAATTTCTAAAATGGGCTATTTTTCATGTTGATCTGTAAGAGTTCTTTATATAGTCTGATGATTTTTTATGTTGCAAAGGTATTCTCTCACTCTATAGTTTGCACGTTTATTCTGTTAATGGTATCTTTAGATGAACACACATCCTTGATTTCAGTAAAATCCGGTTTATTAGTTTTGTTATTAGACATTTTTATATCCCACTAAAGAAATCCTCTGTTACCTTCTTGAAGCTTTATTGTTTTCCTGTTTATATTTAGGTTTATATTAGGTCTGTGACTGGCTTAAAATTTATTTTAATATATGGTCTCAGGTAGGTGTCAAGATGGATTGTTTTTTACCCCTATATGGCTGAGTACAATTCTTGATGAGCTCTCTTTTGTCCGAGCATCAGTGTGGGTTGTGTAGGAGAGGAGGAAGAGGATGGAGGGGAAAAGATCTTCAAAATACACTTGCTTTCCAAGTGATTATGATGTGCCCGTCACTTGAGGACACCATGGCCATAGTTACCATTTGTTGTGCTTCATCTATATGCCAGGCACTATCCTAGGCTTGGGGTATACCAAAACACAGACTCTGCTTTCAAAGAATTCAGTAAAAACTGAGTGATAAGTATAATGGTTCTTGCATATTCATGTATTATTCATGTGTATTTAGGGTAGTACAGTTGGCCCCAAGGGAGGGAGTTCTTAATTCTCACTTCTCAGTACATATTATATTTAGTAGTTAATTTTTGGTGTTTTCTCTCTTGCCTGGCACCACTGCCAGCTGGGGTAGATGTGAGAATGGCAGTTTGGAGGGTAGCCCCTTAGGGAGCAGCACTGCCTGCATCTTAAGTCATAGTTTGTTGATTTAAGTTTCTGAAACATCTAATACTGTGTAAGAGTGATGATGCTTTGATTCTCCCCAACTTACTTAATTCCATGACTGTATTTCTCCTTTGTTTGTCATCATAGTCCATTCAGCAGACAACACAAGAATGGAATTAATCATTCCAGGAGAGCAGCATTTCTACATGAAGGCGGTCAATGCAGCTGAAAGACAGAGGTGGCTGGTTGCTCTGGGGAGCTCCAAAGCCTGTTTGACTGACACTAGGACTAAAAAAGAAAAAGGTAACTGTGCCATGCCAGCACAGCCAAGGGTTCGGTGAGCCTGAGCGGGGGCGGGGAAGGATGTAGAAAAGACAGAAAGAGAATAAGCTGGGTCTAGGACTAGGTGGATCTTCCTGAGCCTGGCTGAGACCACAGAGAGAGATCCAGACAGCAAGCTGAGCCTTTATTTTATAGCCAGAGGTAAACAAGGTAGTGGTCACTGTAGTTACAGTGTTCTTGTGAGTTTCACTTGTTTTGGCAGCACTTGCTACATTTCCCTCAGCCCCATTAGCTACCCAGATAAGATCTAGGGAGCTTCATAAGGTCAAGCCTAATTATGCTAAGAGGGCTGTGTTCTCTAAGCTGGGACTTGTTTGTGGCTTTGCCAACAGGTCAGTCCGAGGCTTAACCCTATAGCCGCTCCCTACAAGTAACTTCCCTTGCAGAAAGAATATTTTCTTAAACACAAATATAAATTGTCATGTTCACTTGTAAGTAATCTATCCCAAAGACATAATCAGAAATGTAGATTTATGTACATAGATGTTCATCAAAGTAAAAAAAAAATTTAAACAATGCAAAGATTTGAATTCAGGGGAATGGCTCAGTAAACTGTATAGTGCTTACATAAGCTGA